TTCCTCTCTCCGATTACTTGTCGTTTCTTTCATTAACTTTAACCTTTTAGCCTTATTAGCTTTATATTACATCTCAAAGGGCTCATAGCTGTGCGTCCAGGCATTCAAATTGGTGTTAGAAAATAATTGTGTTGTTTTCATCCTTGTGGCATGTGGACAGGATCCGAAGCATTAGCCATATTTAATTGTTCGATGTTCATCGTTCTTAGGAGTGGTAACTGGTACAGTGATTTATTAGTCGAGGATTTTGAAGATCTCTTGCCGTCAGAAGAAATGTCGGGTAAGCCTCGTTCGTGAATTTTGGGGTCACCTCCTGCTGCAGAAAATCAAAACTACGTGGACAATGCGGCTGTTGAAATTGCGGTTGATTCCGACACCTCAAGTGACGTGGTTATCGTGGAAGAGCTTAGTCAGGTCTCAAAGAATTTAATAATTGATCGCGTTCTTCGACCTCGTACATCGCTTAACGCCTTCCATCTCAGATGTTTTTCATTGCCGTCGGTATCCACTTCTAAAGTGCATCGTAGTAAAAAGGTTTGTTTGCTTCTTCTATCTCTTGCATTGATTTTTTTACTACATTTTCGTACGATTTGATTGACTAGCCAAGCGGTGGCCAATGCAGCTCCAAGAAGTCCTCTACCTCCATGCTCGTCCCTCCCGTTAGTCGCTCATTGGCAATACCCAGCCTATTTTCCAACGAAGAAGCTCCTTCTACTCATGATCTAATTGATTTTACTGCTAACGTTGGAGCCGCCCTCTCTGCTTCCAACAAAATTACTCCATCTCCTCGTCTTATCACGAAAAGGCGACGACGACCAACCGTATTTGTCAGAGCTCATAAGCGCAAGCATTCAACAAACGCTTCAGCTACCAATTCTGTAGAAACAGTGGTCAGAAGTGTTATGCAAAGTAGTCGCGCGGTTTTTAGTCGGTTGCAGTCCAAATCCAACAAGTTGGCTCTGGACCGTTCTGCTGAATTTCTTCTGAAACATCCCTTTTTATATCCTTGGGAACGTGACGAAGATAGAATGAATGGAGGTCAATGGCGTGAACGACGTGCATATTATCATGTAGGTTGATTAATTTGTTAGGTTTCATTATCTGTTCTTTGAACATCGGTTTACTTCACAATTGGTTACTTTGGTTACTACGTGCAGTTTGACCTTCTATTTGTAAATGCACATTTTATCTTCGTTTTAAGGCTATACTTAGAAGCCGCGAGGAGTGTGCTGATTGTGCCGTAATTAACTCGGATGCAGAAAACTCTCCACCGATTTCGCGACCAGGCAAAAGAAAGCTCAGAGTTCCTCAACGTGGCATCTCACTAAATGAAAAGAGAATCACAAAGCAATCACACTCAGCACTTGAACCTTGTCTTCTTGGATACCGGTGGCCCTCAACCCAACCACAGAATGCTTCACCGGAAAAACTTATTTTCTGGCGTTAAATTGTTCTACTTGCATTTAAATTCCGAATATTTTTATATGTATTTTTCTACTGCTAATACAGATGGTCTACACATGTATACCTTGTTTTGATATCGACATTTGAGATAATATCTCATCCATACAGGCATTCATTTTTCCGACAGATGCCACTTGATCGGCGGTTGGTGTGGTGGACACTCGCGTTCTTCGCTGTAGCAGCGTCAGCCGAAACAATTGGTGAGGATTATGTGTGGATGACAGACCCTCAGACCCATGAACGATATCAGGTCCTTCGATCATCTTATGACCGAGATAAGGCCTTCTTCTTGGGGGAATCCACCCTCTCTAACCGATTTTCTCATGCATACCTCGATGCCCTAGCAAATCAATGCAATGCTGTTACAGGCCCCCCAAGCGTCTTTGAGTTTCTCAATCATACGTTGATTGCTGTTGCTGAATTCTGTTTCAACCCTGAAATCTACCCCTATTCCTTCGAGATTTACTTGCGTCTCTTTGAAACCATCCGTTGGGGGCCTTATACACTAGCCGCCTTAGTAGCAGTTGTGTTCACGTTTGCACGTTTCTTCTGCGCAAAATTATTCCTCAAGGTAATTTTTTACTGCCTTTGAATTGACTTAGACTTATAGTGGTACAATTTGCTTGAAGGAGGTTAGGGCTTGGCGCGCGTACTCGTTACGATTCTTATCTCGTTATGGGCTATCGTATTCCATTCCTTTTTATCGCACTTGCACGAAATATTTGCGTTGGCACTGAACTGAACAAATGACTTAGTTTAAAACGACTATCCTACCCCTCAGTTTTCTGAACGCTTTCATCTTTGTTCCTACCTTACCTCATTATTTTCATCAGCACTTATTAATGGTAGATTCATTCTCTATCTGTGAGGTACTCAACTTTTATATTTATTATTTCAGACCAAAGTAGGTCAGCGATTTACTACCGAACACTCTCAGAAGAAAGCTATGACACCGTTATGGAATACGATTTCGTATACCTTCCTCTTCTCTGTGGAGATAGGCACTTTGTTGAATTGTGGATACGACGATTTTGTCTACCCACTGTGTATATTCAAGGATATCCATTTTAAACGTAAGTGAAGCGACAAAATGATAAGCAATATTGCCAAGCTAAGGTTGAATGACCTCGTCAGAGGTCGTGAAAGGTTAGTATGCAGTTTGACTAGCCTGTCATTTATAAGGGCACCGCCACTTTGTAGTTCTGGTGTATTTATTGCTAGCATCTTCTGTCTAAGCCTAATGCGGGCTATGGTTCATTCATCTAACTGATTTAGTAAGTACAGCCAAAATATTGCTCGCTGTTGCGAAACCCTCTCTATTACATTTTGTTGGAATAGAATGGTTTCTCATTGATCCCTCGATAGCATTACTTTTATCTTAACTGAAGGATTAGGTACTTTATACTACTGCTCACTTTTGCGTTTACAGATTTCAAAAGCGTCCTAATACGAAACATTATGCCGTCTCAAATCATTTTGCGGTTCGAGCTGGGATTTCTGTCACAGTTTTCTAGTGCTGTACTTTTTGATAATTTAGCATGTGCATGTCAGTCTAGCCTTTTGTTTGAGCTGCACCACTCAGCATTCCATGTTGAATTAGTTGTTCCATGCCTTTGTTTATACGTAAATCTGTAAATTTTACTTAGGAGATGGTGTGAAGCATCACTAATTGCCAATGTATCCACGTACTCATCAGTTGCATGCTACATGTTACCAATGTTTTTTTGCTACTACTTTGAAGCTCAACTAACCAATGTAACCTCCTAAATACATCACTAGTCTTATCGTTTTTAAGCTCACTGTGTTGGAC